CCCAAACCGTCCAAAGGGTATTAGACCGAGAAAAGAAAGGACAACTATCCGCGAAGGTGGCCACAGGTCATCCGAGATCAGCTCGGGTTCCGAGGGTTATCGCTGCTATCAAAAGGAAGATTCGGGTGAATCCAGTGCGTTCAATAAGGAAAATGACAAAAGAACACGGGATCAGTGACTTTACGGCACGGAAGATCGTAAAGGAAGATTGCGGGCGAAGTCGATGGCACGGAAAAAAAAACTCACATGATTACCAACCGCATCCGGGAGCTACCAGTCGAACGATGCAAGAAAGTCTTGAACTTCCTTAAGCGAAAAAAATCCGGTAATCCTGTTCACCGACGCGAGTATGTTTACCGTCGATCCCGTATCAAATTCCAGAACCAACCGGTATATTAGTTCTCTTCCGGTAAAAGACGTGACCGACGAGCACAAGATCGTGTATCTGACCAAGCATCCTGCTAGCGTTATGGTGTTTGGATTGGTGGCTTCCGATGGCAAAAAAAAATGGACCCGGTGTTCATTCCAGAAGGCGACAAGTTCAACACGGAGGTCTACATCGGGATTTTAAATAAGTATGTTCTTCCGTGGATCAAAGAACAGTATGGTCCGAAGCCAAATGTTGTATTTCAACAAGATGGGGCTCCGTGTCACACCTCGAACCGCACTAAGAAGTGGTTGCAGGAACATCTTCCGTTCTGGGCGAAGGATATGTGGCCGCTATCCAGCCCCGATCTTAATCCGCTGGATTACTCAATATGGCGCGTCATGAAGGCCAAGGCCTGTTCTAAATGCCACCCGAGTATAGCAAGCCTCAGACAAACATTGACCCGTACCTGGAGAGAAATGGATCCAGACTACATTATTAGAACCTGCCGTGCATTAGACCTGTGCGCCGGTCATACCATCGGCGGCGGCGGCGTAGGAATCATTTATGCACCGGCGGCGGCGGCGTAACGGCGTGACGCCGTTGGGCTTTATCGGCGGCGGCGGCGGCGGCGTGTATCGGCGTGCCACTATGGTGTCCGTAAAAATATCGCATTAAGGTGAATTGCTGTGACATCCTTATTCTCGGAACCATTTCGAAACTTTAAGTGCACAAATATCAGCATCTACGACACGTGCAACATTCAAATTGCTACTCTACGTTTGCTGCGAGTCAATTCGCTAGTAATATGTTGAATGGGAATTAAAGTATTTGCACCATTTTTTTTTAGTTTTGTGACCGAACATCAGTTTCATGATTTGGGGTTACTTTGATAATGCTCGATGAATGTAGAAAAAAATGAGTGAAACTCAAACAATTTAGTTCTTTAAATATTTAAAAATTATGAAACTTTGAATGAGTATATATTCAGAAAACATCATAAGCAATAAGAATATAACGTTGAATTTGTGATGGCTATATCGGAGATACATTTCATAAGTGATGGTTTGAGTACTTTTTTAAATAGGTGAAAAACACGAAAATTGTTTTTTAATATGTTTGTTAAATATGTAACACATACTATATAAAAACTATATACGATATCAACGAAAATACCCTAAGCTACAATATTGAACCAATGTTTCTAATTTCGAAAAAGCGCAGCGAGTAAATTTAATCTTTACATTATACTATCAAAACTACCCGCATTATCAAAGATACCCCGTTTTACGGTACACCTTTTCTGAAATGATGTGAGTATTTCGTCCATTCTTTTCATGCATTAGCTTCCCAAAGTAATTTCAACTTGCACTGGATTTTTCACTGCTATGACTGGTGTCAACAGAAAAGAAAGACAACGATATTTTGTTCAGATTGCCAGACATTTTTCTTAGCAGTATAAAAACTAAACTTTATATGGCTCCACTTGCGTACACTTCCAAAGCGTACGGATTTGCTATGATAAACTTTGACGTTTTATTTTTGGCGCGATAGCCTTGGTGGGGGTAAGCAAATGCACATCAATATAATTGAAGTAAAGCTATTGCGCATCACAAGACAAATTTTATTTATTATTTGTGCGCAAACGCTTATAAAACTACGGGACTACATAAAATCTTTTTAGTGTCTTCGGCGCACTTATTTCTTATGAGCCAATGAGTAAGTGGCCTGAAGACACCAAACATATTTATTGTAGAACCGTTATTGTATAAGTGTTTGCGTTCAACTAATATAGTAAATGCTACGCGCATTGTGTAAGTTTTGCGCAAACGCTTATACAACTATGGATTTACGTTAATTTTTTAGTATATTCTGGGCACTTATTCCTTGGCTCATAAGGAATAAGTACACCGAAAATAATACGTAGTTTCATAAATGTTTGCGCATAACTAATTAATACAAAATTCTTACAATGCAAAATACGTAATTATTATTTAAATCAATTTAAAATCATTGTCTAAAAATGAAAATTTCAACGTATTTTAATATTAAAATTGTTTTGCTTTATGTGCATACTTTGCAGTTATTGAATATGATAAGCAACATAGGTATCGGGAATCGAGGTAATTGCATTTTCATTAAAAAAAAATCTAACAAGCACAATCGTCATCGGCGTATGAAAAATGGTCTCGGCGGCGCGCCGACTCGAAATCGTCGGCGGCGGCGGCGTATGAAAAAGCACCGGCGGCGGCGGCGTGGCGCGGCGGCGCACAGGACTACCGTGCATTCCGGAAGCGTGTGGAGGTCGTAATTGCGGCAAGTGGAAATTCGATCGATGGTTAAGAGTTTAAGACTCTGAGAAACATCCCCTCTTTGAATAAATAAAAAAAACTCGAAAACGAAATTTTTGAGATTTTTTTTAATTGTGACATTGTTCAATGGTGCAAACATTATCACGCATACGTATTATTGGTTTAAATTATGCATTTGTATGTGCAAACAATTAATTGCTATATTAATTTGCCCCTGACTTCTTGAAGGGGGGAGTTCATCCCTCTCATAAATTTGCAATGGCCAAAATAAAAAAATACAAATATTAAAAATTGAACATAGACCTTTTGCGATATTTGAGATTTTAACACATTTGTAATGTTTATTTAAAAAGCTTTAACAAATTTACTGTGTGTATTTTCCCTAAAAATAATTTAATTATCTTTGAAACCTTGTCTCAGGCGTCATTTTGATTAGATATTTTGTTTACGTGCTACAGTTTTTTGAAAAATGTCAAATTTGTGACTATGAAAAAAATTAAAAGATAAAAATGGCCCAATTTAAGCAAATATGTGAATGATTGCCTGCAAATTTCAACTATGCAAAGTTTCATGCAAATCGGAGATCATCGATAAAAAAAAAATTGTTTTTGGTTTTTTGCCTGGAATAGCTCAAATGTGCCTCGTTTGTGAAACGAACGGCGAGACGGAGGCGAGAGGAAGCTGCAAATTCCCGGTGAAAAGTGTGCTATTAACTTTAATGTATACGATCAATTCTGGGAGGTGTGATGGTGGCACCGTGTGCGTGGAACGATTTTTGTACACGAAAAAAGTGGGGACTCCTTGTTTATCGTGATACCGCAAGGTACTGAAACAAGTTGCTCAACTCAAAAAAAAAATAGGTAATTGATGAAACTATATTTTGAGCGGCTACGGTATCAAAATAAACAAAGGGGTCCCAACTTTTTTCGTGTACCTCAGCTCACCGCTGTGCAGGTATTCACGCTTTTAGTCGATACGGTTTTAGCTTCCATAAGTTTAATGTTACGGGGAAGATGCTTAGTCAGATTGGAATTATCACTGTCAGCACACTTTCCCGTTGATTGAATGGGATGGTGATTGAAGCCATTGGTGAGGAAAAAGGGTTAAGGTGCATCAGGTGCTTCAGCTCGTGCAAGGGAAGCGTTCTAACAATTCAACAAGCGCAAGGTGGCAAGCAGCTTTGCTTGTCATGTAGGTGGAAGAGTTGCAGTGTACATACATAGCATTTTGGATAGCGATGGCTCAAGTGAAGATGATACGAATTTTAATCATGTGATTCGAATCTCATCTTCTTAGACTAATAAATCCTACAATGAGGAAAATTCGTTTATACGCATGACTATTTTTATAAGAAATATACAAACGTTTGTTTTTAAGACATGCATGATCAGTGTTGAAAAAATATCAAAAAATCAAATCTCACCAAAGATCAAGATCACTCGTGATTTTCGTACATAAAAATCATCAAACAAATAACTGCGGATGATATTGCAAGCTGTGATATCGCAGCTTGGAATATCAAGCTAACAAAACTCACCAGCTGCAAATTTCATCAAACTGTGGTGAGTTAAGTTTCATGATTTCTGCTTTACACCCGAACGCAACCGAAACTGTCATAACGGGTGGCAACAGTTGCTTCAAGTCTGCCATCGGTGAAGAGGAAAAAGAGATAGAATTGTTATACCTTCTCTTCCTAAGGAAACGAGGTGCAACGGAATCATTATTGTCTCGATTAAACTCTCAGGTACAAACTTTAGACTTTGTGAATAGTCTCGCAATATCAAAGGAGCTTAAAGCTGGTAAGTTACTGCAGTAACTGAAGCACCTAGGTTAAAATGAAATGTAGTTTATTTTGAATGTAGAACAAATAAAGAGGTTTAAAAAATCAAAGGAGCTTGTAAAATCAATATTAAGCATGATATATTGAGAGCGTATGAGAGCGAAAAATATCAATTTGCTAATAATTATGCCATCACTGACTGTGCATGATTATCATATGTTATGACTTATCAAGTGTGTAATCAGGAATAAGGTTAAGAAAGGTGATAAGTATGGAATTAAAAAGAAAACAAAAGGGAATTCCAATATATATATAACCGTGATTGGAACAGAATCGTGCAGTTGGTTGAGATTGGAAAGTTTTCTGCGTCGGAAATTAAGAGAGAACTGGATCTTCCAATCACAAACAAGCGTTTTGAGCAGATATGAAATACACCAAACCGACCATATAGCCCAATCTCACACCGGCTCGAAATACATGTCATGAACGATTGAATGGACTGCCTTCTCGTGACACGGAAAGACTCCCTTTTTCTACCAGGATGAATTTCGAAAACTACGATGAGCTGCTCGAGGACGTATTGATTCCCTTCGCCGAGAACGTCATTCCAGAAGACTTTGTATTTCAGCAAGATAATGCCGCGATACGTGTCAGCAAGAGGACTATGAAGTGGGTTTCAGAGCGGGACGTCAATGTATTGGATTGGCTTGCGCGTAGTCCAGACCAAAATCCAATAGATAAGCTATGGTGCAGCCTTGTGAGACATCTTTACAAAGCTGGAAGACAATTTGGAACAGTTCGCGAACTAGAAGCTACCGTAAGAGAAGCCTGGGGATCAATATCTTCAAAAACGCTCGATCATCTCGTGGACTCCATGCCGAACAGGATTTTTGAAACTATTGTGAAAAACGGAAATCGAACTAAATATTGACCATTGTTTAACCCTTAAATATTAAATGTTTATTTGATTTTAATAAAAAGAAGCGGTGCGTTTAAACGAATTTCCTTTTCACAAATATAATTGTTATTCTCATCGCAACAAACAAGCTACTTAACCTTGATAACAAAACATTAAATAACTTTAGTTCGAAGGGCGAATCAAATTAAATTTTATTGAACCGATTCCAACAAGTAGATACGAAAACATCTAGGGTAGAGGTATCAGTTATGGCTATACGTTCCCAGTATGGTGTATTCCAATTATGTCCTATGGAATTCCATAGGCCATAATTAGAACATACCATATTGGGAACGTATAGCCATAACTGGTACGTCTACCCTATGCGCTTAATCGAATTTTCCTCATGAATAATAATATGATACCAAAACAGAACATACTTGAAACGATGGGCGATGATCCTCTGGAGAAGTTAATGCTAGGCATGATATAACACCACTAGACGTTATTTTGACATCCACTACCAATCTCAAATATAAGGACGATTCATAAATAATGAGACAATTTAAAAAGGACCGGGTTTAATCACAAATGAAGCCTCACGGTAACAGAAAAAATACGAGAGCTGACCGGTTGATAATACTCTATGCTGTTATGAAAATTTGCTAATGCTATTATGAAAATTTCCATTCCAAAAAAATCCTTTACCAAACCAGAAATCATACTTGCCACCTTTGGCATGGTATGCTATTTATTTACATACTAGAATAGTGGTAGGCGCATCTTTAAAAGCAGTTCATGAAGTAATTGCAGCACACAAAAAGCATCACTAAAAATAGGTCCATTCTCCGAAAACTCGGAAAATCAACCTAAAAAAGGAAACATTTAGATGGTCGATAAAAAAAAAATTAATAACATAAATCGCTATCTACCCCGACCTTAGTGGTAGTACAGGGCTGGAAAGCACCTCAGAGCGTTAGCAAAGCAACTTTGTGCATGCATCTCACAACACTCGACGAAGAGTGTGTGGTTCTCCCATTTGTTTCGCACACTCTTTTGCAACTAATCTATGAGAAAGCGATCCGCACAATGAGCGGTACACTCTGTGCGGCGCAGGGAGCGAATATAATACAACTCTGCTGAACTCTTTGCAGACTTTGCTTACCACACGACTGCATGCATAGGAGATGAAAAAGGGCATAACGAAGAATAATTTTGTCTTTTTTCTGGGTTTCCCATTTGCAACCCTACAGCGTTCTTTGCGTCGGAGCCGTCGGAGCAATGGCTACACATTGAGCTTTCGTTATTTTTGGGTGTGTTTCTGTCTCCTCTTCTCCACTGCTTTACACTTGTGCAGGGTGAAAGACAAGCAAACTTTGTGTTTGCTTGATTCTCACTTTGTTCATTTCAGAAAATCAGTAAATTGCTCGCATTGAGTGATCAGATGACAGCCCTGGTCGTAGATTTGCTATATTGATGCTTACAATCAAACATTCAATTTTTTTGCCTTCCTTCAGATAACAACTTGAGCGCGGTAAAACTCAATAGAACTGTTTCAAACACATCGTCGGTACATGAGCGAGTCGGCGATCATCTCGCCAGTGGTGGCGGGGGGAGATACCCCTCACCAGACCTCTCCAATGGGGGAGTTTGGTAAAGAGAGATGATCAAACCGATTTGTACCTTCATTCATAAAAGTTGTCCTTGCTCGCTTTCTACTCTCTATATACAATTTTCATACTGCCGTACTCTAACGAAACTATCAATTCTATACTTTCATCTCCTCATCTATCGTATAAAAAATACCATTTTAGTCTGTTATTTGAATTATTATTAAATTATTAAATTAAATTAGATTGAAAATTGTTTCATCATTGCAAAAATATCGCGTTGTAAACGACAGAAAACAATGCAAGTTAATCGATTTATTTATCGACAAATGGACATTGGAACTATTCAAAAAATAATTGAGAGTTGATGCCTCTAGAATAAAATTTAATTTATTGAACGGATAGAAAATAATGAACATTTCTCTAATCATTCATCTTTACCAGCTATGGCACTAATTTAGAAATATATCAGTCATGGGATGAACCTGGTATAACATGCTTTTTATTGGAGTAGTGCTACAATTGGTATTGTATCAGTACTGGTAGCACAACTGGAACTCCTCCCCCATTCATGCTTAAGTGCATCAGCAGATTACAAACTGAAACAAGATTATCTATTCAACATGATTAAGTTGACGGTTTAATGCATAGATGTCTTAACCATATACTACGAAACACAAGAAGAAACTAAATGTTGGCATCCATTCATCCCCATTTATAATCCTCCGATACCATCTACACAACGTGCAGTACAGAGGAGTCAGACTCCAATTCGTTTTTCGGTGCGTAATACACGAGAAGACCCCACCAACAGAAGCACAAATTTGATCAAACCGTATAGTTCTACTAGTATACCATTAGGCAAGCTAGATTCCTGTCTAGCGCGTGTCACGTTCGTAATGCAGTCAGTTCAAAGTCGTTTCCATCGTCTTCGCTATTACTGTCATGCACAATGCCATATCAGAGTCTCATGGGTGGGACGAGCCAAGAATACTGATGAACCCAGTGCCAACCGTCGTCGTCATGTCAAATTCGATTGCCGGAATGATGTTGTTATTTCGCTACCCTAAACAAACATAACCCCCGCCCAGGCTGAGTTCATGCAGCACAATGAAACGGGCAATCACCGATTGGAATATTGTAAGACACTGTAATTTTCCACTTACAATAGCACTCGCAAACCGTGTGGGTATCCCACATCGCGAAAATCGCTCGAGCACCCTTATCGGAAACATCGCATCGGCATGCAAGTTTTCAACGGACATCGACATCAACTACTTACTACTTATCATTACTTTACTAGCCGGGAGCCACCTCGATAAAAAATGTGCAACTTTTGTTTTCAAGTTCACCCAGATTTGTGATTCGTGTGCCTCACCTCCACTGCGAAGTGCCGACTTAATTACGACACCTATAGGACTTGCTTCTTCTACCACCCGAGCGCAGATTGTGATCGCTCAATGATGCCCTCCCTCACGCACTCACACAGTGGCATCGGCAGCAGGTAGGGTCACCGTCGTCGTGTCACGCAATTAGTGCGAAACAGAGACGTTGACCGCGGTGCTCGTGGTCACCCATATCGGTTCAAGGGGCTTTCTCGGTGTGAAGCTATGAAAATGTGCCGATGATTTACGGCCAATTCGGTAAGTTCACCGGCAGCTGTAGAGAGCGCATTCGGAAGTCGGTTGCGTGAGGTTGGATATGAGGGAGGATGTTTCCGTGCTAATACTTGAATCTTGATGAACTGGTCTGACCACGGGTGGATTTTCCAGTTCCCAAGGTGTCGCGATTGAATTGTTTGTAAGAACAGGTGTGTAAATTGCTCGACACGAGGGAAGCACACTGACTGAGGAGTGATTTTTTTTGAAGTTTTAAGACACGGCAAATGAATCAGACTCACATTTGAGTCCCGTTCATTGAAATTGGCAAAAAATTAGGTCACTCATTGAATGAAAAAAAATTGTATTCGCATTGGAAATCGTCATTCATGTTCCCGATCTACAAGAAAGGAGACAAGAGAAACGTCATCACTCAGTGCCTGCGCTAAAGTTTTCGAAATCATCATCAACGACGCATTATTCTCTAGCTGCAGAAATTATATTTCTCCTGATCAACACGGTTTTTATCCCAAGAGATCAGTTTCAATAAATCTAGCTCCGTTCATTTCTTTATGTCTTCGGAGTATGGAAGCTGGAGCTCAGGTGAACGTTGTATATACAGATCTTAAGGCTTGACCACTCCATACTGCTAGCTTAACCTTGGAAAACTCGGTGTATCCTCGGGTTAGGTTCAACGAGTTAGGTTCAAGTCCTATCTGACCAATCGGGAACTTTGTGTTAGAATCGGATCAGAGCAATCGGACTATTTTACAAACAGCTCCGGTGTTCCTCAAGGTAGCAACTTGGGACCATTGCTATTCTCGATTTTTGTGAATGAGGCCGGACTGATCCTCCCAACTGGTTGCCGATCGTTCTACGCGGATGATATAAAGATCTATGTGATTGTTCGTAGCTTCGCCGACTGCTTGCGGCACCTAATCGATACTTTCGAAGAGTGGTGCTCAAGAAACTATCTCACGTTGAATGTTCAAAAATGTAATGTTATCTCATTTCATCGCAAGCTGAAACCAGTGGCATTCAACTATACGATAAATCACCAACTTCTGCAACGTGTGGACAATGTTCGTGACCTAGGAATCACGGTGGACTGCGCCTTAACATTCAAGCTTCATTACTCAGGCATCGTTGCGAAAGCTAACAGGCAACTCGGATTCATTTTCCGAGTTTCGCGATCCTGCCTGTCTAAAAGCTCTATACTGCTCTCTAGTGCGATCGATATTGGAATTCAGCTCGGTAGTATGGTGCCCGTATCAAGCAGTTTGGATAGCGAGGATTGAATCTGTTCAAAGGAAATTTGTTCGGTATGCCTTTCGTCACCTTCCTTGGAATGACCCTGTGAACCTTCCACCGTACGAAGATCGTTGTCTACTCCTGGGTCTTGAAACACTAGAACATAGGCGGACGATGAGTCAGGCCGTGTTCGCAGCGAAAGTACTTATTGGTGATATCGACTCTCCAGGAATCTTGGCTGAATTCGAAATCTACGCACCCGAACTGTGATTTTAACTGTGCAGCGGAAAGCTTTCGTCACCGTATTCAACGCAGACTCCTGAGAAGGACGAGGACA